CAGTGGGAACATTAAATACCCGTCTCTTGTTCCGCCGTTTAAATTCCTCCCCGGCATCTCAATCAATGAACCCCCGTATCCGAAGTGTAAGCCCAACTAGGGACCACAACTTCAGATGCCTAGCAGATCGTTCTCTGTCTTCGGAACACGTCGGGTTGTGCCAAAAAATATACCAATTTTCGATGACATTCCCTTTCTCCCCAAATATTCTCATTACCCTCACAGCGAGAATTCTCATCCGATTCTTATGAGACTCCCGCCTTCGAGATTTCAACGAACGAAGCATTTTCGGGAGCCTGGTAGGAGACGGGGCGGAGCATATTTTTTCCATCGGACAACCCGGAAACCATGTCTCGGGAAGATTTCACGCAGAGCACTATGAACAGATTTGAGAGGAGGGGGTACCTATTAGTGAGCGTCGCAGGAGCACCCTCCATTGAAGTCTACAACATAGATAACTGCGGCTTTGGTTCGGATCGACTCGAATTTGGGCCGTAAATCTTTATCTACACCGCCGACGACTGATCGCGATTTCTGCAAGTTCCAGAAATCGCTTGATGCCGTGCTCGTGATTGCAGGGCTGATGAGGCCGTGTCGACTCATCCGATGATATTTGATAGATGTACCTGTAATCCTCGACCGCTCGGAGCTTGCCTCCTGACAAGGACTCGAAGAGATATGCGTGTTTTGTAAGCAGGATAACCATATTTTTCACAATGCAACGCCCATGCTCAATGAATGAGTGCTCCCCGTGTAGCATTTCTCGGAGTGATGGTGGATAGAGTCAGTGAAGTAGTTCCGGAACCGAGAAAAAACTCCACGGGAAATTCCTCTCATGAGTGAGAGCTATACATATAGGATCTACGTTCGCCCGCGGTACTCCCACTCGCACCATGCGGATCCCTTCGTCTGAGCTGTCGGTAGCATTTCCGGAGAGTCTGTACAGAAAATATCCCTCGCAACATTGGAGATATCTCTCTAGGGAGCCGAGGATCCACAGATCACAGGGAACTATCTTCATTGGGAATTTCCACGGAAAGCACGGCGACCACTCTCATATCACGAATCAGCTCACGAATCCATTTGGGTATACCGAATGCTTTCGGAATCGGATTGGGGGTTCGGATGGTGGCTTCGTGAAGTCCTGAGGTTCGACATCGGTGAGAATGGCATTCCGTTCCCACCTGTTTTTGGCTTGTATCCGAAAATCATTTAATACTCGGGGAACAACTCTGCACCGTCATCCGGTGTAGTCACTGAGAACTGGTGAGCTACCCAGAGAGAGATAGGAAGAAACAAAGAGAGAGAGGTAGGGAGCGAGCAGTCACTCGACTGTTCTCAACGGAAGTTCATAAGCAAGTGCATTCCGAATCATCCTCGTCCTTTACATACAACACGATCGGATGCACCGGTTCTGAGCGTTTTTATGTCTTGAAACATTCGTTTGCTGTTACGTCTCACAACAATGGGATGTTTCACCACCGTATGAGGAGTCAAACTCGAGACAATAGAAACAAATGCGCTGAGAGGTTTCGCGCTGCACCGTCATGCGTCAAAACCGAGGACCCGGAGCCGAACGAACCGCTATGTAGAACATTTGGAATTTGGCAGAGGCTCGTCTCTAGGCGCGAAAGGTTATGCCCAATGGTCCGCCGAGTGATGCAAGTTCTGGAGACGTCTGTGCTGCAATGTTCTGAAGCCCGGGCTCATGTCGTCGTTCCAATCCTGATTTTCGACGTTGGAGTGGATTGTATTTTGCGTTCTCCAGGTCAGCTTCCGCTCTCAGCCTCGGCAGACAGCTTTCGAGCCGTAGTCTGTCGTTGATGTCAGTGGCGGCCGATTCTCAGGCTTTGGTTGCAGAGCGGGTGGATCGCTTGGAGGAAATTTCTCACGCTTCCAAGAGAGTGACTCGTCTGACAAGCTGCGAGATATGATCAAATGTTTAAACTGCTACCTTGACGATAACTTCGTTCTCGTGTTGTTCTATCGTGTTTGTTCAGATCGAGGGCTCCCTTCTCACAATCTTGATTGTTCAAAGAAGATACCTGCTCCTCTGCATTGGGGCTTACTCCGAATGGCCAACATTTACCGATGAAGTCGGAAAGCATCCGAAGAAAAGAAAACCTAAGCTTGGAATGATCTCCATATTTTCGAGATGGTCCCTTTATGGAGGGAAGAATGTTCCAGCCGCGGTGAGAGTTGGCGCGATTCCGCTCGTTTCGAACGATTTTTCCGTCATTCGGGATCACGTCGGGAATAATCGTCGCACGCATACCTTGCGCCCAATCTCATCGCGTTGACATCCTGCTGTCCCCGTCTCAAAGTCGGGAATTTCGTTTAGGAGGCCTGGGCGCGCAGGGGTATTCACTTTGATCAGGGCTACCAGAGTTGGTTTCCTCTGAGAACATGCAGAAAAGCGTCGACGACGAGGAAGTAGAAGACGACAGGTCAGAAGAGAGGATGGAGAAAGCGAGAAGCAGAGGATTCTTCTCTTCATTTCTCTTCCTGGTTCTCACACTAGACAGCAGTCTCTTGTTGGTTGGAGACAGGTTGCGCTGAGAGTGCTGCAGGGGCCACAGGCAGCAGCCGCCGCCGCGGCTGCTGTAGAACCAGTGCGGACGAGAACGTTGAGTCATTGCTCTTTGTGAGGAAGTGAAACCTATGAGAAACTTTGGTTTTTTCTCTCCGTCAACCTGGCTCGAACGTGGGTGACCCCCACGCAGACTTCCGCAACGACAGTTGATCATCCCCGGCTGTGAGTGTGTGGAGACACCGGTCAGAGCCCTCGTCGACATCCTAACCCTCTTCCTGGTCGCCGAGCTGCGATGGTTCCAATGGATTTCGATCTCAGCTAACGGTCAGCCGTATTCCTCCACTTGCGGAATGTGAGACCATCGGCAAGAGGGTTTCTGATACATCCCGAAGCCGGCGGCATCGGTCTCGGAGCGCCTCCGAGATCCTGTAGATTCCGAACAGTTTCGGACGCAAGGTGAAGAATTATCAGATGCCGTTTTCGCCCCATTAGCCGTTGACTGTCCCGGTCATCGAGGGTATACTCTACGGTGAGGAGCCGATCGGAGCCATGGATTAATGTCGTACCACCATGCGATAATTACGTAGATGAAGAAGTTGCGATAGCGGAACGAAACATCGTATATAAATCAGATGCAAAGGGGCAATTCAGTCCCCGGCATCTCGAATTCCGATCCGAAACTATCGTTGAGATGACGATGTAGCCGATAATTGTTTATACAAACACCAGCCAGAGGAGCATGATGAGCTGGCGTGACTCCGACGGCGCGGCGCTCCCTTGCCTGCAGTACTCACGTTCGGTCTCTTGTCCTTCATGATCCAGCGAAACTCTGCCGCTTCCGAATAACGACCGTTCTCGCTTTGATTTGTGGCCACCAATTACGGCACGGGAGTCCCAGTGTAGACGTCATGTCACTCGATCGGGTTCCGCGGAAACCTACGACAAATATGAAAACCTGATGATCGTCTGTTAGAAAATCGTCCTCTGCGCAGCAGCCCCGACTCGCGATCAGCGCTCCTGACTGATGGCGAGCCGGTTGCTCAGCTTTCGCTCAGCTTCCAGAATCCCACACTCGAGCTCGCGTTCCATCGCAGCAGAGCTGCGAAACGTTTGTGCTAATTATAAACCTCCCGAGAGTCTTGGATTTCCTTTCACACGCTTACATAACTCTCTCGTAACGAGAATAACTGGAGCACGTCTGGTGACACACCAATACACGAAAGTGGGTCAGGTTTACGGAGCTTGCTCGTAGTACTAGTGAAGATGGAGAGAAACGAGGTTAGCTATCGCTTGAGAATAAGTCGAAGAGCAGCAGCCTTTGCCGACTCCAACCGCAGCAGGCAGACTGGCTGGTTAGTGGGCCCCAAAACTCTCAATGAGAGAGTCTCATGAATGAGCGTAGTGCACGACGACGCTCCGAGACCCTACAATGAACATCCTCCAGGAGGCCTTGTGCAGTGGTGAATTGTTGTGAACAAAAAAAGCTGCTACCGAATCAACCTGATCGGACAATGACCATGAGAAGAATCTCTCCCCAATATTTCCCCACGAAATGTTTCTGACGAAAGAAGCTCCACAGGTTGATGCCTTGATTTGAGGAATTTATTGGCCCTTGTTTCGACGCTTGTAGGTTGGATCCCGACGACTCCCAAGCCTTGTGCGATTCCCTCTGATGGAGTGGTGATCAAGGTTTTATATCCCACGTTCCCGCCTCGGAGCGGCTTGGCTTCCCGCTGCATCGAATCGAGTCGTGGCAGCACGCTACTTGATGAGCGTCGGTTTCGGTGAGGTGCAGGAGCAGAAGTGAAAAGAAGATACCCACTTGGTCCCCCAGGGAACCCTTCGTTGACTCTCCGTCCTCCCCATCAGGTTTTCTGGAATGTGAGACTTCCTCATTCCCTGATTCATGGTAACAATATCCCGAGCGGATAATGGATTCGGGCTCCTGAGCTTGCGAGGCGATAGATATTCTAGGTTCGGCAGAATCCTCTCGAACTTTGCCCTGAACGGGGACTCCTTCGAGTCCTGGCTCAATGAGACACTAGTCTAAGGAAGCTCCGAAATGTGCATCAATAACCATTATCGAAAAGTTGGATGCGACAGCCTGACCCGGGACTCGGGACCCAGGATTATTCGAGGAGAGCGCAGGTATCTCGGAAATGCGGAATCTCCCGTGGGATGTCGGTGCGACACCATTGCGAGTATAACTTCGCGCATGCAAGGGAGATTTTGAATTTGTATTCGGTAGCTGATTTGATTTCTCGTGCAGCCGGGCAATCGCTGCTCTTACGCTGACTTCATATCGAGCGACACAGGGTGCTTTTTTCTGTAATTCCGGTTGTTCACCGGTTCCGGCGCGAAGGCCACGGCAAGACTTCCACAGTTGATCCGCTGCCGCGGTCTATCCACAACGAGACTATCACCAGAGTCCTCCGGCCGCTGCTCTGAGTGAGTGGCAAGCGCCACCATGTTGTTGCATGTGCGCTTCGTGTTAGCATTAGTTTTCCTTTACGGTTCGATCCCACTGACGCGGTGCATCAGTGAAAATCCAGTGGTGCAGACTCCATTGGGAGCGCTCAAGGGTCGAACCGAAGTCTTCAAGTACTCCGGCCAGAGTCTGGACGTGTTCAACGGTGTCCCGTATGCCGAATCGCCGACCTCGACTGGACGCTTCCGGAAGTCCTCACCTGTGAAACGCTTCACTGCCGATGGGAGCGTTTATGACGCCACCCACTATCGACCGGGTTGTATACAGCCGCAAGGGTTGTTCGGCATCAATGAGAGCACGGTATTCGATGAAAACTGTCTGTTTTTGAACATATGGAGAAGGAGCGGCACGGACGACTCTCACCGGAAACCTGTGGTCCTAATAATTCACGGAGGAGGATACACAGCCGGAGACGGGCACGAATACGACTTCCGTGGGACTCAACTGGCCGCGTTCGGGGACGTCGTCGCCGTGAACATGAACTACAGGCTCGGTTTGTTCGGCTTCCTTGACCTTGACTTGCCGGAAGCCCCCGGAAACATGGGTCACACAGACCAAACTCTGGCGATGGAATGGGTGCAGAAATACATCGCTCTGTTCGGTGGGGATCCTCAGCGAGTGACGCTATTCGGGGTGAGCGCCGGCGGCTTCTCGATATCGGCACACCTGATAAGCAAACAATCGGAGGGTCTATTTCACGCCGCCATCATCGACGGTGGGGTGATAACCAAAGCCAAGACCGACAGTCGCGCGGAGCATTTGACGAGCGTCCGCAAAGTCGCCAGGGGTTTGAACTGTTCAGATGAGACGACCGAGGATCTTTTGAAGTGCTTCACCGAGGCCGATGCTCAAAAACTTTTGGAACAACAACAGGCCAATTCCTTACTGAAGATTTTCACGCCGCCGACTCATGGAAACGGCTTCCTAGCGAATATCCCGGAGAAGATCGTCAACCACCAACCAGGTTCATTCACGCGAGTGCCGATACTCGTCGGAGATTGCAGTGACGAGGGAAGCATAGTGTTCTACCCTGAAATCGAGAATGTGAATTTGACGAGCGTTTCCGAAACTCTAAATTACCTGCAGACTGAGCTCGGAGATCATCCGCTTTCACGAAATTTCAAGAGAGAAGATATCGTCGAGGGATATAATATTTCGGAGGGTGGCACTTCGGAGTACTACCGGAACGTCAGTCTGGACTTCGTCGGCGATGGGTTTTTTGTCTGCCCCGTGAGGAACTTCGTGCATCACTATTCTTCAGTCGCCTCGACACGTTTCTATTACTGGGAGCATCTCACGAAACAGAAAGTCTCCCTGGATCCTCTGACTTGGGGCGCTTTCCACGGAACCCCATTCTTCCATATGATCGGTTCGCAGTTCACGTATTTCGAAAACGACACCATATCTTCAGAAGACGCTGACTATGTGAAGAAATCCATCAGGATGGTTGTGGACTTTGCCTCGGATCCTGCGGCGAAGCTCCGGTTCGGCGACATCGAATGGCCCCCGTACACGAAGGACCAGCGCAATGTTTTCGTTTTTGGCAGAGAGAGAGACTACCTGAGTCTTGGTCATCCGAAAGACTCGAAATGTGGTACGGTATGGAGAGCCTATGAGGATATTTGATTTAAGTTCCACACTGGAATATTGAAGTCGAAGTCAGAAATCCGAATCGAATAAATGAGAGGCGGAGTTCCTATCCTCAAGCGTTGAGCTTTCAGTGCCCTGCGAGGGTGTGCTAGAACTTGAGGGAACGGCAGGAATTCAGGAGGAGAGCGTCTTCTTTTCATTTCTAGTTCCCAATTTATGCGGGTTGATTTCTAGAGATGAATGCTTCTCTACCACGACAGTATGCCTAAATATGTTCAAGTTTCGCGTCATCAATGCGATATCTCCTCGTACGCCTAGTGCTCAGTTTTCAACGTTTTCTTGATTCTTCGGCTCCAGAGATCACAGGGAGAACGAGCTGGCGTTACATCGAAGTACGATGTGAAAGAATGAATGGGAGTAAGTTCTTAGCGGAGCCGCGAGATTACACCGTCGAGGGCGGATTCTAATCTTCATCCGCCGGAGCCTGTACTGTTTCAGGTCGAAGCTGGACCGATTTTTCTCGGATCCAGTATCGGCTCCGAACTTCCTCATGATATCGGGATCGATCTTCAGAGGAAAGAATCTGCGGGGGAAAATCAGAAAACAAGAGCTTTTTCCTACAAATCTTCACATCCTCGACACCGCTATGTGAGTCCCTTGATGAGTCGTAAATTCGAAGCGAGGGATATGTAGCTCGCTTCGTGCGTCGAAACTCGCGTTGACAAGGCCGAATCGAGACTCTGGCGGATAAAATCCCTTCACGGTTCCAATATCCTGCGAATCGTGTGGAAAATAGAGCTAATTCGAAATCCTTGGGATGGATCCAAGGATTGAATGGGCTTTGGTGGATCGGGAAGACTCTTCGGGAATGGGACTCACATTCCCGGATCGCTTGACGATCAGTTTTCCTTTGAGTTCCTCGGAAGTTACGATCTTCCGAATGGTCCAGTTGTAGAGAGGACTGATGAGCCTTGGATCTATCTGTTCGGAGGAGCATGAAAAGTCAAGAGACGAAGAGCAATCGAACATATCTACAACGTGAATCATTGGCGTCTAGGATCGATTGCGATAGCAAACTCGTCACCTTCTTCAAATTCGTTCCTCCTGTGCAGAGGGAGACAGAAAACCCCACAATGAGGACGATGAATGTGGCAATCATCGAATACCAAACATAGGAGATCCTGTATGCCCAGAACACGCCGCTTGGGTCGATGAGTGAGCTGTGGAAAGGTCTCCCATCAGAATCGATGCGGAGAAGAATGTCGCGGGAAAAAATTCGGCCCAATACGTTTCCTCGGACGAGCTTACTTGGTAGGAAGCGTAGCGTTCATCCATGCGGGGCATCCGTTCACCGAGACAGGAGCAGTTGTCACCGAGGGCCTATGTATAAAGTTTCCCGCCCCAATCCAGAGCGTCAAAACGAGTGATGACAGCAGTCCGGAGATGGCACCCTACAGTTACGGGCAGCGAATATGTTCTAGTTTCCATTCAGGGCTGAGGAAGTATTGTCTCGATACAAAATGAAAGTATCGTCCATTGTTTGTTCATAAGGAGAGACTGCCATCGAAATAAGCGGCGACTGACATGCTTGTTGGCTTGAGGGATGAATATCCCCAGAGTGAAGACGCCCAACAGTGGACCTCCAAGAATTCCGAAAATCGCTAGCGTAGCTTGCAATACATTGCCCAACTGCTGCGCTACTAGGACCAAAATCACGGCCAGCATACCGAAGAAAATAGCTGCGGAGGGGAGAAAATATTCGTCTTATTATATCTCCGGATCGATATCAATTCGGCTCAAAGAAGTAGATCAGACGATTTTCGGATACCTAAGCCCTTCGTGATCCAAGTTGCCGTTTCATCGCTCAGCTCGCGCTTAGAATATCCTCTTATTACGTCTTCCAAGGTCACCGTCGCTAACGAATTCACTCCGGAGCTGACTGTCGATGATGCTCCGCTGAAGATCCCGGAGACGAAGAGGCCAGGGAATCCAGTAACAGTCCTGGAAAATATGATCTCGTGAAGTTATTGGAGGTTTCCCATTCGTCTCAGGCGTGGATTTTTTATTTCATGGAAGCCTTTACTCCTGGGGTCGACTGCGTACCCGAGAGTATCCATGACGAATAGAGGCAAAAGCTGATCCGTATCAACGATGCGCTTCGATAAGAGAGGGTCACAAGAGTGGTGTTTCGCAAACATGACGAGACCGGCGAGCGAGCAGATGAAAAGCAGAAACACGAGGCCTAAAATCAATCTCCGTTCGCACCGGGAGTATCGTGTATACTTGTGCCCCCTAGGATGCTGCAGCACATCTCGTTCGGAGCAGAGAGAGGAACGTCACCTGGAAGGTTGATCCAAATCGCGGCTCGAGCTTTTTTCTCCGATGGCAATGTCAAGTACCGCTGAATCATAGCTTGAGACGTTCCGTAGACGGCCAGCCACGTGAAGTTGCAGCCGATGAGCAAGCCCCAGACGGTATGACGATCTGTTGGGTCCGTGTTAAAGCTGGAAGCAGAGGCTCATGTCGATTTTCACGATCGTTCTTCAGAGGAATTCCGAGGAGCTGAAGTTTCCCTCGACCCCAAGGCGCGATCATTTACCGCGGATTCTGAGAAGATTTCGCGGCCTAATACCAAGGCGAAGCCGAGAAACCCCCTCCAAGAACTCCCCTTCGGCGGGGGACGGGGAGAGGGCAGGGGAATCGCCCCTCCAGAGGCAATTCAGCCGCTCGCTCGACGTATCGGATAGTTCGTCACGCGAGGTTGACGCTGGAATTCTCACGTGCAGTAGCGTGTGAGGCGATAAGGGTGTCGGTCCGCCCCGGGGCGGAACTCTCCGAAAACAGGCTTCTCGAGTTTGACATTCAACAAAAGTATGAGTTGGCGAGTTTTTCGCCTCCTGGTCGGGTACTTGAAGATGGTTGCCAGAAGGGCACGCTCGGGGGCGGCCCCCCATTAAACGCGTTCGGAAAACGAGAGCTTTCGATCACCGTTTTGGACGCCGACCGCCGCCCCCACCGTGTCTCTTTACACTGGCCAAAGCATCTCTCGGAAACGTGATACTCGAGCTGATCGTTGTCGATATTCAAACCCGATATTTTGTTGTTTTGAACCGACTCGCTTATTGTGAACCCATGATTACACCCTTCGCTATCACATGGCAGCTGCCATTGTGCTACTCTGATGCCCTCTTTTACGTCGCTCTCCCTATTAGGGACCTCCGGATGATGAATACAATTTGCTCTCCTCTATTCTCGATCAAGCTCAGTCCATGGCATGCCCCCGGGAGGCATCGTCGAAGGAACGAACTCCTCTGGATCTGGATAAGTTCAAAATCGGGAGGAAGGAGTGCCGGTTCCTCCGTGTTTGAAATCAGTTTTGTTAGCCTGATCATCATAGAGCTGATCAGAATTAGCCTGATCAGTTCGATAAAGGTGGGTGAATGTATTCGGTGCGATTGAGACTCTTCTCGTGGCCTTTTAGTTTGTGAGAGATACATGGCTTACTTAAAAAATGTGACCCGATCATGAGCTGCGGCGATCTTCAGCACTCGATCCATACCGCCCAGATCTGAGGAGCCCTTGAGTACCACGGCGATGATGGCAGCGTACATCATGCCGATTTGGAAGACATCGGTCCAGATAACAGCTTTGATCCCTCCCTGACGCCGAAGTGCAATACTCGCCATTAGATGCGGCATCTTATCTTGAAGCAGCAACAGCGTCTCAGGGTTCGTTCTCGAGGGCGGAAATCGCTTACCACAGCCGTGTAAAACGTGCAAACGATCCCGGTCGATAGAACCGAGAACCAAACTCCTATACCAGTTACTTGCGAGAGAGCCAGAGATGGAGCGTACAGCACAATCGCCATGTAGACAATCTGAAAGTTCCCCGCGAGTCATCACGGAAGCTGCAGCAACCTTCGATTCAAATGCTGAATATCGACTCGGCCATACAGGTCAGCTCACCATCTGGATCATGAAAATCAGGGTGGCAAGGGTTCGACATGTTTTGTTGAAGCGTCGCTCCAGGTACTGGAATAGACCGTGCAACAGTGCTGAGTTTCTCGAAGGGACGGTGTACATTATAGTCATCGATTAGAAATGATGCTCATCCGGCTACGGACTCGGGAGCACGGTGGGAGTCACCTCATAAGCACTGGTCACTTCTAGACGGTAGAAAACCGGCATGTAGAGATAAGCCGCAGTAGGGATGACAATGAAGTAGCTCAGCATGATGAGCATATATTGTGTTCCGAATCGATACATTTCCGTAGCAATACCCAGGATCGTGATGGCTGACATGAAAGAAGCCAGAATAGACAGCGACACGGGGAATACGCTCAAAGAACTGAAAGCGAAAAAAAAACATGACCGTGATCGCTAAGAAGATTACGCATACGAGAGCTCCTCGATTCGTCCATGGCTGAATGGATAGCGGCATGGAGGTCTATTAGTATACGAAGACTCGTAAACGAGAGTTGTAAAGTATCGCACGGACCGGTTCCCTAAGAGCAATTCACTCGTGGTGCTCTGTTTCTCTCCTGAACAAGCGTAGTATAATCCGATGGCAGCAGAAACTGAGAGCATTCCTGCGAATACCACGTAATCCCAGCCTCCGAAGCGGGACACCAAATCCTCTGTTGATACATAATCCAACGCGGCTTCTGTCGTTGCTTCCATGGTGGACAACTCCGGAGAACAGTACTGTTGCGGACTTTGATCGACACTGCGGGTATCACCTCGACTTGACCGTATTTCCCGGATCACCGAAGCTACATCGATCGTCGACGGTATCGCTCCTCTTTGCTTGGATAGCTGAGGGAATACCTAAGTACCAATGTTCCCAGAGCCGACTCTTCCGAAGGAGCTTATGAGAGACTGAGTTGCCCGGAGAGGGACATTTAGCTCCTTGCCCCTGCGAATAGCCTTCGTCCGCGGATCATGCCCCGTGAAACACGTGCTCGTTATGAGAAGCCTTGCCGTGACGATAGCTCATCGAAGGTCAGCCATTACGTAAAAATTCCCATGCGCTGCCTCCGGGTCAGTTTTCCCTGTCTCCTTATTCTCGATCAGGAGCAGCTCAATCAATTTAATCGAGATGAGCTACAATGCTCGGTGGGGTTATGGTGGATTTGTTGACCTGACCCCTTTCTCTATTGCTTTTTCAAAGCAGATTTTTCGATGCGGTCCTGAAACTTAGCGGACGTAGCTCGAATACTCGATTCAAGCTTCAAACTTCCTGATTTGGCTTCGAATCGGTCGCTCACGAGTTTCGGAGCGCTATCTGGCAATCTAGCGCTGTCTGTCGTCCGATTTAGACGTACAGAGCTTGTCACCACGATGTTCGCTATCATGTCTTTTTCTCCCGCACCCCCCCTTCCCCAACGTCGGGAATTCATTCCAGGGCTCTGCGGATGGTTTATTGAGGATCACCACTGTCGTTCCTTAATATCATTTTGCTCTCAGTCATTTGGTCCACAACCCACGAAGTCCGCGGAGAGGGGTTATTCCTGACGGCAGCTTATTCGCACCAGGCTGTCAAAAATTGGACAAGCCCACGGGCATTGTTTCCGGCGGATCATCAATGTTTTCAGACTGTGACAACATTGCTCTGACCCGAGGCACACGGAATTTATGTAAGCGAGGTCGGACACATGTATCCGTCTCAATCCCACACGAGATATTCTGCACCTGATCCGGACGTTATTGATCGAACACTATAACAGGTACGCTCCTTCCACGTGTAATTCATGCAGTAACTTATTCACGCCGGGATTCCTGCTGTCAAGGAAGGATATTCGTCTAAGCTCGATAGGATTCAAGTCCTCAGAAAGATGATCCCCAGATCGGTTTTCGGACTCCGGGAATGTCTGATCCCTGAACAAAGGCGAGACGGCAGACCGACTGAGATCTGACTCTCCAATCGAAGGCATCAGGTTGCGGACAATCGAATGATCGACGCCATCGAAGGTTTGACGCTCGAGAAACATTATGGACGAACAAATGAGTCTTGTGAGGTGACCTCACGTTTCGGCCGAAGGATCTCAAGCAGTCTCTCAATAATCTGCCGAGGGATATCGAAATTGCGAGGTTTCCCAGGTTTGGCATTGTTGGTTCTGTACAATGAGCGTGACCACTGTTATCACGAGGCCTCGATGTATCTTCCTTGAGATCTCCCAAAACTCTTGTTTCTAAATTTTGTGCTCTACTTTCCGTGCTTTGCATTCCTCGATTCTGATCACCAGTGCGTCAACGGGTTGTATCGAGCTTATCATCTGCGCCGCGCGTGTTCCACTGCTATCATGGTTCAGTTTCAAAAGGCGGCATTTATGCGGGGCTGTGGACGCTGCCAAAACGACATGCTTTACACGTATCGACAAAGCCTCACTGAGAGTGAGAAGCAAAGAGCCTGATAATTTTCTGCAAACATTCGCTTTCTACAGTGTGACCATTCAATGAATGTAGCAATTTCACACTCATGATGCCGAGCCCTGAGCGATCTCAAATGTATAGCTCTGCTTGTGAAATACGGCGCCTACCAGCCCGGCTCTCGGCGGGTCAACGGGATAGGCCCGGTCAAGCGAGCATCCCCGTGGGGAGGTTAAATTTGTGGGGGGGATTCTGCAGAATTGATCTTCGATCTAGAGGGGAGAGATATTCTGAATCCTACGATCAAGCTTCAGATTAGTCGAAATGATCCTCGAAACCGTCAACTTCGGCGGAAGCCTACTGCTCTCACTCGGCTATGAATCGAGTCGCGCTCTCACACGGAACACGGACGAATTTATGATCCGGTAGTGGCGGATATTCTCATGTATCTCTGAGGAACGTGGTAAGTCATGACTTGTGCTCCCTTTCGAATGGAAGGAATCGGATCGAAACTCGGAGGTTTATGAATATATGTAGCTCTGAGGAGTTCTACGCCGGAAGAGCGTCACACATGTGCATGTGAAGTTTATCGGATAACGAATCGTCCCGGAGGCTCCGATAAGGACAAAACTTCGGGCTGACAAATAGATAATAATCTGCGTTCACCAGGCCATAGATCTTCGAATGCTTGCGAGTGACGGCGGAAAGGTTCCACGGCTCCGCAACTTTCTTCCAGTTATCGCTGCAATCACAATAGGGCGGATAACCTTCCTTGATGATCCAAGTTTATGCTCATGATATTCAGGACGAGAAATCAGTCGATTGCCAGATGCTCGAGCATTCGCAAGAGGGGAGTTTTTAAAATATCTCTAGCTTCTTGCCTCCTTCGTAGGACGAGCGCCGACGTTCCGCAGAATCAGAAGCCCATGGGCGGCCGCGATGCGTGATTCTCTGACTGTGGTCATGGCGAGGAGCACGCCATTTTACTACGTGAAAGAGACCGAATGCGCTTATGAGGGCGTTGATGTTCTCATAGTATCGGCATTGAATCAAGCATTGCGAAAAAAGTACGTTACCTAGACTCCGTGAAGGAGTAACCTTGTCTAGTTTCGTATACGAGCTAATGGAAACTACGTCTATGCTCTAGCTTCTCTATACGCACTTCCCCGGAACGAAGTTGGGGCTCATGTACGACCGGCAACTGTACTGGGATGATCGGCATGCTACAAAGAAAAGTGACGTTCAGAATCGAATCTGCAGCATCCCCCGCGAGCTCTCATCGTTCCCAATGGATTTCTTATATGTATAATGTTCCACAGGTCTTCGACCTTGCCATGTCGGGCATGTCAATATCCTATGATCGTCGACGGTACGTCGATTTCAGCTTCCCCTATCTCCAAGATAGGTTAACCTTCGTTGTACGAGCCCCGCGCGTCTTGGATCCATCCAGTGCCATCATAAAACCGTTCGAAGCCGAGGTGCGTTCCCCTCGCAGAACTTTCGACGGAAAAAAGTACTGTCGAATAGGGACAATTTGTAACAGAGGGCTTCTCCAGGTTTGGGAGTATCTGATCCTTGTCGTTGTCATTTCCATCGTTATACGTCAACTCGCCCGTTTAATGCCGTCAGTATTCCACGATTTCCTGGACTTGCTCGACATCTTCAGCATACTCTTGGGAAAAGGTAAACGCTCTTTCTTGTGAGATTCCTAACGGCTTCAGCGACTTAAAGAGCGATCTAAATAGCTTGCAAAATTTAAAAATTCTCCTCTGTTCCAAGGGCAAATCCATGTGCCCGAGCTTCTATCTCAAGGTATGGTCCTTTGTTCGTGGCTAATCATTTCGTTGGTTCTGTCGACGTGTTATTCTGGAGTTCTGTTCTCATCGATGACTCGTCCCGGGCTAGAAGACGTCGTCAACACCATACCCGAGCTGACGGAGGCCTTGGTGAACAAGCGAATAGCCTGCGGGACGCTGAGGAACACTCACTTGGAGAAGTCTTTGCAGGTATCGTAGCTATTTGCCGGTCTAGTAATTGAAAGGCTCAGGAATCTTAGATGACTCCGCCACTGAACTGATCCACCGTCGAGAAGCGTAGCGTAGGAATCTTGGTATCCTGCGTTCAATGATGAAGATAGAGGAAGATTTCCTTCTCGAGCGGGAGGGCCGAGGACCGCCGTGCCGGAGGTCCTGTCGCATGCGGCTTCACGATACGGGGGACTCTCGCGGGCCCGTGGAGTCATACCTACGCCGGGAGCACCTCAACCCGACTTCGACATCACAATATTTGCGGACGATTCTCGCATCCGAATGGACTCCATGAGGCTGCAGGATGCGGAGAGGGAATCCGCTCTTATCTATACCCGCTTCTCGGTCACTGTCTCGCGGCAGGAGATCCATTGAACGCTCAGGATCCGATCGATCTTGATCTTTTCGACAATGATTTCGCACGCTGGTTCCTGCTGGGTTGAGCTCCGCTCGTAGCCAAGGATCCCCAGTCCCCAGCTACGCGTCGTTGGCGAACGCGACTTCCCCCAGTTCCAGGGAGTCGGGAGCATCGGGGATGGTAGAATCGCAACTCTTTTACATTCATGTATATTTTTTTATCCAACGCTCTGGAGAATTTCGTACCTTGACCCAGATTTCTAAACGTCTGCAGTTAGCGGCTGAAGGACCGATGCCCGCGCGATATTAAGTCACGTTTGGGCTTGATGCATATATTCTCTTCCACCGTACAGATAATGTAGGAGGCAATCGACCCTATCCTCAAGAATCCGATACGATGATACTCGGATGGCTCATTCAGCGGCAATCTTCGATTTTAAAGCGGCAAGGATCTTGAAGGATCGACACTTGAATAGAAGTCCGATTCTGAGTTCCATACTTGAGAGAGAATGGAAAGATGTGTTGTCGTCGCGCGCTTACCGCACCATTCTTCACAAGCTCCTTCTTCATGCTGATCGACACCTCATCTCGACCATTCGCTCGATACGCATTCCGCTCATCGTTTCAGAAACGATTCTCTTCTTCTTTGCAGCAAGACGGGTCTCCGAAGCCTTTCGAGAGGGCCATACTCGAGTCTCTGAAGTCTGGCGAAAATTACGTGAACAGTGACGTCGCGGGTCTTGAGCGATGCAAGAGCGGCCGATTCGCATACATCGGGGAATATATTGGTATTTCCGCCGATGTCGAAGATACAGGAACAGTAACCTTCGCCGACGACTCCTTTCAACTGGTTCTTTATGGCGTAGCGATGAGACAACAGCTGAATATTGCGGAGGAGCTGAATCTAGTGTAAGAGATTCGGCTATCGTCAGAGAGGGGATTTCCCGAAAAGATTAACCTCATTGCGGCCTCCGCCGATGAAACTCATATTGTTTACAGAATCATCCAGCTTTGGGATCACGGTCTCGTGGAGTACTGGTTGGCCAACGCAACTTATAATCCTCGACGCAGCGTCGATCAGCGGAGCCCGGAAAATTTAGCAATTCGACACATAAGAGGCGCTCTCAGCTCCCTATGGGCCGTATGCGCTGCATTGGTGGTTCTCATCGCGGAAAGAGGTTACTCAAGGTGTGTTTCGCTGAGATCTCGACAGAGACTCTCTCCGCACGAATCTCCAGGATTGGAAATGTTCGAAAACAATCATGCGAAACTCGTGTTCAATAAAACAGATTGAGCTACATATATTAACTAAGCACGTCCGAGTGCACAGCGTTCGACTAGTCTTCCCTCGTTATTGCTGATACAAGTCTCGTCGAGCGCTTAGTCTCAGCGCAGTATTCATGGTATCTCGGAATCACAGGAACAGGGAAGGCGATTACGACGACACAATCCTGTCGTTCCAGGGATATATTCTATCCTTGCTTCAATAATCGAAACTTGAGATGAAGCGGCCGAAACTAAGCGACTGAGCGAGTTTGAAACTGAGGTTCCCCCACCCTCACCGTTTCCTGATCGTGCACGCTCATTCCTGAGGTGATATCGCGAATAGTGTTGTAATCGATCGCGGGAGTCGTCGTCTGTCTCATCGTACTCCTAAATCGAATCGCAGTCTCTGTCGTCCCTTCGAGAACTGGACGGTCGGCCAGGATTGATCTCGGGACGATTGTGTATCTCGCAGCAACTTCGTTGCTCTGATGCTTGATGTGTCCGACTTAATCCGCCGTTTTGCCGGGTTGACACTTGGAGCGCTCCGTTCCTAGCCCCGTATAGCTGCTGAATGTCTCTCTAGCCGCTCGCATGATCGTGAACAAAAACACGGAAACTCGCTCTTCGGGCATGTGGATGCTTGCGTCTTTCTGAACCTGAACGCGTTTGAATGAGGGGTACTGCATTCTTAAGCAACTGAGCAGTCTTCGCCATGTACGACCGACCGGATCCATGCCGATTGGGGAGCGTCCAGGGAATACTGGCGGGACAGCCGGGGATGGGCAGGACGATTTCTTGCAGCTCTATTCACGCGATGCGGGGATGCATCGGGAAAGGTTTTAGATCTTAGCTCCGCTGACGAGAATCTCGCGGCAGGCTCCGCGTCTGCGCTTCTCGTGCGAGAACTTGGTGACTCGGTCAAGGGGCTCATCAAGCCTCGACATACGATTGAGACATACAAATGGAGTAATTTTGAACGGATGAATATTTCCGGGATGGGGACCGTCGCATTAAGAGCTGAATCTCTCTCACGTCACCTTAGCTACCATCGGAAGAGCTTTTCAATCGATCTGATGCCGCCAAGGTGCCAAGAATCATTACTCTCGCGAAATCCGAGAGCGAGTTTTTCTTCCCTCTCATTGATCGGAAGCGCTGCGACATTGGAATTCCCGGTTCGGTATCTTTATTCACTTAGGCAGCAAATTCTTATCAGGTTGAAACTTCTGAGCGTGGGGACTTCCTCCGACTCATGCATCTTCCGTCCCAGCGACGGTTGCGCGAGCACGTTTTCCTCAAGCATTAGATGCGCTCAAGTGTCTGTCTCCCAGTTTTGAAACCGAACCGGCATCTCCCTCCCGGTGAAGCTGAGGTTGAATTTTGAGACTTGTAGCATTGAAACTTGGGACCCTCAGGATTGTCAAGTTCGTCGATCGTCTGACTTCATTCGGGGGGAGCCGACGCCGACTCTGGCGTGAGCTATAAGAATATACACACATACATACATGTGATTCCGTGATCGCGATTTTAAGTGAGTCCGGGGATCTGGCGTGCTTCGAGCTCGCTGGACTTCCCGTGATTCATTGAATTCATCGATAGTGGTGAACATTCGCATCGATAGAATGAACATTCGCATTTTGAAGGCTGTCATGTCTGACTTCTTATCACGCGATCGAGTTCCTCAGCTGTCATTTAGAGCAGTCATCGAGACTCGAATCGGTGGCGAGCGAGGTTCACTCTCTCTGTCAGAGCTCCTGTAATGCGCGAGCGAGTGAGCGTAATCGCTTCTGATCTGAAGATTTCCATATTCTAAGGGAGGACGGCTGACATTCCGCTGAACCAAGCGCCCATGGGCGGCCACGATGAATGATTCTCTGACTGTGGTCATGGCGAGGAGCACGCCATTCTACTTCATGAAAGAAACCGCTGGCGCATATGAGGGCGTTGATGTTCTCATAGTATCAGCACTGAATCAAGCTTTGCGGAAAAAGTACGTAAATCAAACAATATTCGAATGTTCGTTCCGATGACTATCTATGGATCCAATGATTCAAGGAGAGTCCAGTTTCGCGAGTTATTATCGACTATACGCTTAAGCAAACTCGTCAATGCTCTAGCTTCTCGATACGTGCTTCCCCGGAACGGAGCTGGGGCTCATGTACGACCGGCAACTGTACTGGGATGATCGGCATGCTACAAAGAAAAGTGACGTTCAGAATCGAATCTGCAGCATCCTCCGCGAGCTTTCATTGTTCTCAGTGGATTTCTTATATGCATAATGTTCCGCAGGTCTTCGACCTTGCCATGTCGGGCATGTCAATATCCTATGATCGTCGGCGGTACGTCGATTTCAGCTTCCCTTATCTCCTGGATAGGTTGACCTTCGTTGTTCGAGCTCCGCGCGTCGTGAATCCATCCGATGCCATCATAAAACCGTTTGAGGCAGAGGTTTGTTCCTATTGAAGAGAATTCGACAGACGAAATCTGTCGCTTAGTAGCGAGTATGTGTAAAATACGATTCCCCCCAGGTTTGGGAGTATTTGATCTTTGTCATTGTGATTTCTATCATTATACGTCAACTCGCCCGTTTGATGCCGTCAGTATTCCACGATTTCCTCGACGTGCTCGACATTTTCAGCATACTCTTGGGAAAAGGTATTCGCTCTGTCTCTCGTGAGAGTGCTGAGGGCTCCGGAAACTTGGGTAGCAATCCATGTATATATACCGACAAATTCGTTTCTCCACTCCTTAAAGGGCAAATCCATGTTCCCGAGCTTCTATCTCAAGGTATGGTTGTTTGTTCATGGCTAGTCATTTCGTTGGTTCTGTCGACGTGTTATTCCGGGGTTCTGTTCTCATCGATGACTCGTCCCGGGCTGGAAGAGGTCGTCAACACTATACCCGAGCTAACGAAAGCTTTGATGGACAAGCGAATGGATTGCGGAACGCTCAAGAATACCCATTTAGAGAAGTCTTTGCAGGTACAGTATTCTTTTTTCGGGGGTTTCCCGGGGGTTCTTTCGCATGCTCGACATTGAAGCCCCCTGAGAATGGGGGGAGTCAAACCTACAGCGGGAGCACCTGCACACGGCTCCAGAATCTTGCGCACGACTCTAGCTTGCATTTCCTTGGCCGGAGATTTATTGAGCTCACCGGGTTCGACGGATAATTATGATCATGATCTCGCGAATCTATACCTGCCGGAGGTGAGCTCTGCTGGAACTCACGAATCTTCAGGAACTCGTCATGAGAGGACAGACCTTTCCCGCTCCCGGGGCAAGGGGAGGCTTTTCCTGTCTTTGAGAATCGCGTGGTAAACATTCTACCATGACCCTGAACTCGAACGCCTACGAATGCCAGCAATCAGCCGCTGAACGACCCATGCTCACGCACGCCCCCGTCACGTTCAGGTCGAGATATCTCCCTCTCCCCACAGAGCCGCCTGATTGGTCATCGACGATATCTTCCAGATTCCAATACGAGCTCATCTTGTTTCAAATCGACCGCTCATATCCCGGGGATCATTCTACCCGACATCTGAAAGTTTTTATCCGATACGCCTCCTAATTCCGCTCTTCGCTTCTGCAACGGTTCCCTTTTTCGTTGCAGCAAGATAGGTCGCCGAAACCTTTCGAGAGGGCCATACTCGACTCACTGAAGTCCGGTGAAAACTACGTAGACAGTGACGTTGCGGGTCTTGAGCGATGCAAGAGCGGCCGATTTGCGTATATCGGAGAGTATATCGGCATTGCCGCTGATGTTGAAGATACAGGGACCGTAACCTTCGCTGACGACTCATTTCAGTTGATTTTATATGGCGTAGCGATGAGACAACAGCTTGATATTACGGAGGAGCTCAATCTAGTGTAAGATATCCAGAAAGGGAATGACGGGTGAGGGATGGGGTGGTTTCCCATCCCAATTATTTGACGGGATTGGCTGAAAACCCTGAATCTATTGACGATCTTCCTGATGCAGCTCATATTGTTTACAGAATCATCCAGCTCTGGGATTACGGCCTCGTGGAGTACTGGTTGGCCAACGCAACTTATAATCCTCGACGCAGCGTGGATCAGTGGAGGCCAGAAAATTTAGCCATTAGGCACATAGTAGGCGCTCTCAGTTCTCTATGGGGCACGTGTGCCGCATTGGTTGTTCTCGTGGTTGAAAAAGGGGTCTCATCGTGTCGTTCGCGAAGATCTCGACGGAGATTCCCTCCGCATCGGTCTGGGAGTTTGAAAGTGTTAGACAACAATCATGCGAAGCTGGCATCGAATAAAATAGATTGAGCTATATTGAGCATATCCAAATGTACAGCGTTCGACTAGTCTTCACTTGTTATCGCTTTAAGAAGTCTCGTCCGGCGCTCAGTCTCGGCGGAGTTTTCACGTTGTCACGAAATCACAGGAACAAGAAAGGCGATCACGACTATATAGTTGCGCTCTCCCAGGATTAGACTCTGTTCTTGCTTCAATCGTCGACGCTTGGCATGGATTGGCGCTTTAGGATGTGTGACTAGGCGAGTTTGAAACTGAGGTTCACCCCACCTTCGCCGATTTCTGATCGAGCGCGCATGTTCCCGAGCAAAGATTGCGAATAGGGTCTCGATTGATAGATGTAGTCGCCGTCGTCGTCATCGGGCTCATCGACCTCCTCAATCGAATCGCCGTCTCGGTCGTCTTTCCGAAAACTGAACGGCTGGCCGGGATTGTTCTCGAATCGTATATTGAATCGCCGTGGCTCTTCTCTTCCGTCAGCTTCGTCATCGTCGTAGTGAACGGGTTTCTTTTTCCGTTTATTCCGCACCACCGAGGTGTATTTTTTCGGAGCGTCGGCGCTCGAATGTTTGTTGTATCCGACGTATTTCGGTGCTCTGCCGCGTCGAGACGCTTCGCTCTTAGCCACGTACGGCTGAGCGTGTCCGACAGGGTCCTCGTCGGGCTCGGATTCGGGGCGATATTCAAGAGCGCGCTGGCTTTTCCTCTTGTGTCGTGGCTCGCCTCGTCGGGGATATTCTTCAAGGTCTCCCGGCGTCGTCTTCCCATCAACAGTATCTTGCGACACATATTTTGGCACTTTGCGTCTATGGACTAAATGGTCGTCGTCGCTGTCGTCGTGCTCGGGTTCATCTTCTTGATGACGGTGTTGCCTGTTTTGACGACCCCGTCGAGAAACATGAGCGTCCCGCGACAGATCTATCGCATCGTGATGAGTCACTTGGTGGATTCCAGCGGGTTCTCCGTCCCCGCTTTGATGCGTGGAAGTTTCGCTCTTCGTCCGACCGTCGTCGTAGCCAACCGCCGCGTATCGAGTTCCCGGGTCGCGCTCGGCCTCGTCGAGGATTTGCGGTGAGTTGGACGAGTGTTGGAATCCAGAGCTTCCATGAGACTTTGGCTGAGGCTCTTGTCGAAAAGCTCGTTCGTAATCCACTTCGCTCGGCGGCTCTTCTCTGACACCGTGCTTCTGAGGATAGTATCGAACTTCGTGATCCTGCGACACTGGTTGGGATCTGCTCGATGTGTATCCGAATTGAGAACGAAGTTGCTGTTCTTCCTTGACTCGGAAATCTTGTTGTTCGTAAAGCACTTTTCCTTGGGGTCGGTTGTCTTGTGCTGGCAAGACGTGCGCCTTCAGCCGACGAGTCGTCCGGTTAGGATCGTGGAGAGAGCCCGCATGCGGAACCTTCAGCTTTGCTTTCGCAGAAATTTTGCGACCCGTCGGCTCCAGGAGGTCCTCGCCGCCGTCGTTGTTGTCTTCTCCGTCGACCCCGCCTCCATCACGGAACTCTGCGTAAACATACCTGTTGTTGCGGGCCTTGACGATGCGTTCATCCTCGGTGTACGTTTTTGGGTTCCATTTTATTATCGGGGGTCCTGGCCGTGGGAAAACAATTTCTTCACGCCATTCGACATTGTCGAGTTCTTTCCGGAACCTTCCTGGGTCCATCTTGATTTGCTCGCCGAATGTCGCTTTGGCCGCTCGCATGCTCGGAAACGAAGACACGGAAACTCGCTCCTTAGGCATCTGGATGCTCGCGTCGTTCGGAATCGGATTTGAATGCGTTTGAATAGCGGGGCTTGCACTCCCGGGCGACTGAGGATTCTGCGAAATGCTTGAACGACCGGATCCATGCTGATGGGGGAGTGTCTGGGGAATACCGGCGGGATAGCCGGGTATGGGCTGGACGAATTCTTGCAGCTGGGGTTGCTTGTTAAGAACTGCTCCGTAATTCACGCGATGCTTCCCCGGTAGTAGAACGTGGCTTTGCTGATAAGAATCTTGTGGCAAGCTTTGCGTCGGCGGGGAAATCGAGATCGCCTCATTATCCGACAAAACCGTCGCAACATATCTCTTGGGCGGAGCCGACGAGAGGTATTCCTCGAAGTTGATCGCGGTCGCGAAGTTCCTGTAAGAATTCGATCGTCAAGCCTCGAGATACGATTGAATCACACAAGAGGAATAAGTCTGAGCGAATAAATACTTTCGAATTGGATATTGACGAATTGGAAACTGTTTCCCCCCCTTCCGTAACCGTCGAAGAAACACTCCCGTCGATTTGGCGCCGATGAAAACGCACCGAGAATCATTTGTCTGGTCTTGACCACACATTACGCCACTGGATTACTTTTGCGAAACCACGTTTTGTTTTTCTCTCATTGACAGGTAGCGCCGTGTCGTCAGAATAGAATTAGCAGATGGTTCGGTATTTTGCCAGCTCAGGAACGGAGTCTTATCGGACTGAAACACCCAGCCATGAGGTCTTTCTGCTCGCTCGTACGTCTTCCGTCCCGGCGACGGTTGCGCGAGCACGTTTTCATCAAGCATGGGATGTTGTCGCGTGACGGTCTCAGTTTTGAAACCGAAGCGGTACCTCCCGTTTGGCAACGCCATGGTCGAACATTTGGATACGAAGAATTAAAACTCGGGAGTGTATGGGCTGCCATATTCGTCCATCGTCCGGCCAATTCGGGGTAGCCGACGATGGCGGAGGATTGCAGAATAGATGATTTCGTGATCGCAAAAATTTTTTACAAATCCCGGGTATCCCAGCGTGCTCCGAGCCGTCAAGACTTTCCGCGATTCTTTGAATCAATCGATGGTTGACTTTGAAATTTCGAAGGTCATCATCGGTTAGCCGCATCTCACGCGATCGAGTTTCTCCGCTGTTATCTATGTAGATCAGGTAGCGAGGAACCAAATCCAGATCGGCAAGCGGAAAACACTTCCTCTGACTGTACTCTAATACGCGCGACCGAGTGAACGGAATCGCGTGTGATCCGAATACTCACCCAATAGGTCCCAATTTGACCGGGACTCCGACTCTGTATGGGCCTGGGTCGTACTGAGCTCTCGCTCGACTCGTACCGCACAGCGTCCAGATGAGGAGCGTGAGGACGTTTGCAATCATCGTCGACGCATCAACTCTTTGCGTATCGATCGAGGAATGCGGGCCGAAACCGCTCACGTCGGTTCACTTCGCTACTTCTCCGTCAAACTGCACCGGCGTTGTTTTGTTCGCGCGCTGAACACATAATGAGTCAGTAGAAGCAACGCTTGAGCCAGCCTGCTTGCCAGCCAGCGGCTAACAAACCCGCTGTCTCCCCTTGCTACTAAATTGCGCAAGGGGAGAATTGCAGGAGAGGAGGAACAATCCGGAGCAATTACCCGGATATCGAGCGAAAACCGAAGTTACAAAATAAAAATTCGCCGAACTAATATTCGACCACCGGAAGGTATGCATCGCTCGGGTATATGTATCTGACGCATTCGACGGTGATTCGCTGTCGGGGTTCCCCGAAGTGGAAAAATATCCCTCAGCCCGAGGCTCGGACGGACATCATAAGGGGAACTGGACGAACAAATCATTCATCTGCCGTAGCTGCTTGTCCCCCCTTTCCATCGTTCAGGTTCAAGGCCGACCCGCGATGCTCAGGTACATATACATATGTATGTACATGTGGAGTGCTAGCGCCAGTCGGATCACGCACCAGTCGAATAAATGCGTGAAACGTGTTTCATGAGCGATTTCCTGCTAGGCTGAGTACCACGGATGATCATGCAGAATTAGCCCACTCAGATCAATGGCCCGCTCGGTGATTTTCTCGAGCAAGCTGGTCCCGGCTGAAATGGAAAGAAAACCTCCGAGACAGCGATCTCGGGGATATTTAGGAAGGAGCGGTCCGGCAGAACGGGCATTCCGGCTGTTTCTTTCGGCAAGGGGTGCATCCGCATCAAAGGAAGGGGCAATGAGATGATGATGAGGACGGCGGCCCACCCCGACGAACCTTCTCCGGAGGCGAAGAATTGTCTCATCCGACGGAGAACAAGTTCGCGATTTTGTGATTCGATAAAACTGGAGCTCCCGGGGGATCTTCGTTGGGAAACCCTCACAGTCCTGTCAAATAAAACTCACGAAGAGAAAACCGATATCGACACGGACGTCGAGAAGCGCTCGCATGGCTCGCGAAGACTGAAAAATCTGATCGCTCGAGCAGAACTATAGGTTTTCCAGCTGTTCGGATGACGGCTCCTCTTAAGTGAATTGCGCTGCCTGCTCATAAGCTCACGGAGCAGATCGAGCGGGAAATTCATTTCCACCTCATATGGCTGTTCGGGGTCCGTAGAAGTGATGCTAGTACAGTGTGCGACAAGGAAGCGCCACGGATCCAAGTGAATGACCGGCCTTTCATCTGTCGCCGATCCTTCGCCGTCGATCGTGGAGAATTGACTGATAGTGGATCTAGCTGAATGTTTATGTATACATCCACGGCTCCAAGCGGGGGAGGAGATTTAATACTCGGTCGCGGGATGGAGTTTGACATCGATATATATATAAAGTTTATCAGTAAGATCTACGCCCATATATACAATTGTTTCGATGAGTTGGACAATATGCTTGACTATATTTACACTGACTTCCCGAAAAAACACGAGTACCTAGATCCTCGTTCTCACTGGTTTGGATTATGATGTTCCTCGTGCTGATGGCTGCATTGTTAGGTGGGTACGGATCGCGCAGATTTCCTCCGGGTTCGGGAGCGGCGTTTTTTCTGTGGCATTTATCCCAAATTTATGTTGAAAGCGAGTGCTCCGTCGTCTCCTCTATTCAGGGTGACACCTCGGAACACTCGGAAAGGAACTCTGAATAACGAACGTCGACTCTCTTGGGCGGGTTCTTCTTCCTCGTCTTCGTGGGAGGCAGGTGGAGGCTTCCGTCTGCCCGATGATTTACTCGTCTTCCTACCCCCCGAGCCGGCGCTGATGCTGCTTCCGCCACCGCCACCGAATTGAATGTTGAAGAGTCTCCGACCTTGACCTTGGTCTTGCTCTTCGGAATCCTCCGGCTCCTCGGCCTTAGTTCGGGAGTATTTCTTCTTCCTCTTCACGCTCCTCGCAGGTGGGTGGCTCTCGGCTTCTTCATCATCGTGGTAATTCGTTTTTTTCGCTTTGGTTCGTTTCCTGGGTAGGCTGGTGGAGCGCGATCGGTACGCTGTTTCAGTGATGTCGTTTACGTCAGAGGGAACTTTCCTAACGTGTGTGGCTTTCTGGTTCATCGCTTTCTGCAGCATGGCGTCACCGGAGAGCCCGCCCGAAAATTCGAAGGCAGGGTGTTCTTGCTCTCTCGACGTCTGCAGATTATTGTATGGTCTGTCTTTGAGAGGCACGGCGTCCTCATGATCGCCCTCGCCCGCGTGTTGCATCGCCGATCGGACTTCGGGGTTCTGCAACTCTGGGTCGATACCCTGGGCCTTGCCCCTGTATTCCGCGGGGATGTCCGGTGGACTACTACCGCCGAACGCGGCTTTCTGGAAGTGATTTCCCATGTTCTGATTTAAACGCAAAGGGTTCCCCGCTAGCGAGACGTCACCAAGTTGCACGGGGGCCAGATTGATTACCTGAAAGTTTCAAAACATTTCCTTTAATTTTCTTTTTCGTTTCCCGGACTGATGGATTGGAACATCGGAGCTTTCGGGATAAACCACTTCCGAACCGGAAACACGCGATTAGAAACGAAATAAATCGAAGCTCTGTACCCACTTCAGGCCGCGCTGATTTTTCGAAAGCCCCAACCATGTGGGCCGGTACGCCGTGGTTGTCAAAATTCACCGTAGGGCCCATTTGGACAAACAATCGACTGGGATCGTTGTTGGGGCCGTAAACATTGAACGGATCCATCGGGTTGTGATGTTGGATGCCCCTGAAGCGGAAATTAAGAGAACGGCGACACTTTTTATCAATTCGTTCAAAGTTCTTATTAGCGACATACTTTTCATCATGATCACTATTACTCCGGTCGCTTCTTGTCCGAAGTTGGGGACCCCTGTCGCGGCCGGAGCTCACTAGGCACTAGCCAACGAAACGAAGACAAACAAATAAAGACCGATCCAAATCTAAGCTGTAGAGAGCTGACAAACTGTGATGTAGCTGCTCCGGCAGCGCTCCCACATTTTTTTCTCGCTGCGAGCAGTCGGCGCGGAGTCTTCTTTTCGCGCGAACACTTACACGTGATGGCGTAACCCTGACTCCGGTTCCTTCTTCTTCGTCGTCGTCTTCGACTACTACTATTCGGTATCAGCTGGTTCGTTTGGTCCATCGCGGTGCCAACGGCCCAACGAAGTCTATTCTTGTTCATTCATCAGACAGACGATTTCTCGCATCCTGATGTGAGCCTCGCTGTTGTTGCAGCTGCATCTCTTGTCGATGCGAGTATAGTCTGGGCTCCTTATGCAGTCAAGTGCCTTGCTTCAACACTTTTCCGACACGTACAGATTTCATGCAGCGAATTTCGGGAAATCCAGCGATCGTTCCCGGCCGGCCCACTCTTGGCTCGCGGTTTCTACATGGCGCCCCAACGTCCACCTAATAATCGGACCGGTCCGTCGCACAGCTGACCGACGGACCGACCGATCGGTCGGTCGACCCTCCGTCGTCGATCCGGACAGACAGTCACTCAGTCAAATAGTCAGTTAACGATTCATCGGCGTATCGCCGTAGCCGGAAGCGGGTGGCGTGCAGGGCCTTTGACCGGGAGGAATTTCGCTAAGATGTCACAGCGGTCGTCATACGCCGTCTTCCGGTTTCGCTTTTGGGTATTTGTTGAGTTGTCACTTATTTCGATGCGGGTATTGCGAACAAGAGATAATTTCCCCCAAAAATCTCTCAATCGCACATTTTCCTTCGCGAGTAGCTTACGTAAGCGATGTCAAGCGGGAATCCTCACGTCGACCCCGTGTACCGAAAACGCGGTGCGCGAACGCATGTTCCCACGTTTTCACTTCTTGGTCTTGTAGGCGACAGTGCTCACGCACCGCAGAGTTCCCTGACTCTTAAGAATCATTCTCGCGTCGTTGAGCTTGAAAGCCACATAAATGAGAGCCACTCCCATCTGATATAACTCGACTGTTCCGAAAACCTATGATGCATCCGATGCCATGTTTTCACGGAACCCTCCGCACGACTCGGAACTGAACCCGGAGGGGGATGGCTTCTAATGATGGCAATAACGATTGATTTCTAGAGAGAGGATCACTTACCCAGCTAACAGAGATAGATCCGGTCGTAATCCCATTTGTTGAGCGTGGAGTCTCGGAGGTAGCGTCGCGGCAACAATTAACACAAGCTGAGCAACTGCCCATGAGCGGAGACCGACTCGGAAGACACTAGCAGTCAGGCTCGGATAGTTTTTGAGACGGGCCATACCGGCACCGTTCTGACGTAGGTTCGCTTTTGCTGGGCTTTAGCTTTCTCTTCACCGTTGCTCTTGCTGCTGCGACGACGACGTCGTGGTGGGTCAGCAACGCACTGCGGCGAGAATCCCGCCGAACAAGTGCTGTCTAGGTTGGACCCCGTAAACATCATCTTGCGGCGAACCCGTGAGCGAGTGAGATAAGTGGAAAGACGTTCCGGCGGCATCGTAACTTGAAAATTATCCTTCCATCAATTTGACTATTTATCGCTCCGCAAATATTATATAATCGTATCGGTGATGATTCACTGAGCGAGACTGAGTGCGGAACATTTTTTTCAGGGGTGAGCTTATCGACGGCGACCCACAGCGCATCCGAAGCGTTCCAGGGTCGCTTCGACCCGGGAAAAAAGGAAGACGACGTACTGTCAACGTCCGGATCTGATGCGTGGTATTTTTTCCTTCTTGCCTCTCGCCGACCCCAGCTTGAGGGACTGCGCCAGCCTGTGATTCCGGATCGGGTGCTGAAGCTGGGTCGGCCTTGGCCTTAGGAACATAGACGTGGAGGGAACGGGGAAAATTATACTCTCAGAGGAAAGTATCGGCTCCCGTTGGGTTCCCGAAATTCCACGTTCGCTATTGTTTCACCGTGAGGCTGATCTCACGCAAATTTTGGACATTGGGAATCAGGGTCGACGGATCCAGCCGCGGACGCAAAATAATTCCCACATAAACATTGTGCACGACCGACGAAAGTTGCCCTCGTGCTGAGAACTTCATCTATCGTAAGCGAAAGGCCGTTTGTGTGGATGCGAATCATGCTTTCGACAGTGCCGATACCTTCTTCACTATAACGTCACCAGCGAAGGCGCGAAGGATGCCTCTGACACATCGACTGTCACGCTCGTCACAACTTCCACTGGCTTCGGCAGAATCGTGCGGAAGAGGCGAGAAATGATTCCGTTACCGAATAAACCTAATTAATGTCCCGCAAGAGACAACGTACCCGAGAAGGGACGGCGAAAGGATTTCTGCCAGGAGGAAGGAAGGTCCCAGAGGCGGCGTCTCGGCACGGACAGGGAGATGTGATTACAGCTCTAAACGAAGAAATCCGGTTACCCGTTTGTTCTCGGCCCCTCCACGGTGCAGTTCTATGTGCTTAGCAAGCTCCGACAACGGGGGCAGCTGTCGAGCGTCCTCGCCAGCAGTTCTTCCTTGGCGCGAAATTCTCTGCGCGTGGATCTTTGCGCAAGGTCCCTGTCAGACGGCGTACTCGCTAGGATATTTGGGCAGAAGTCTGGTTGCAAGATCCTCCCCGCAAAGCCTGCCTCACTGGCTCCCCCTCCGAGACCGAGCGACCGTTCCTCCTCCATTACTTTCCTCTCTCACCAGCGCTCCCTTGCGAGCTCCCGCTCTTGAGGACGTCGCCGCCGCCGGTGCGTCGGGTGGGATGGAGCTTCATCTCGTGAGACATCGCATTCTCTCGCTCGCAATGACGGCTAGCAGTTCTTGGGTTTTTGGCTCGCTTAATAAGATTAACTTCAACACCCTTCCGGGAATTCGGCCTCACTACGCAGCGCATTAGTGATAGTTATTGGCTCACTCTCAGTCAGTCAGGTGCCGGACCGCCTGCCATTGCGAACTCGGTGCCCGATTCCAGGAATGAATCCATTAGAATAACAGCTATCCGATTGCTAATCGATATTTGACTCGATAACGATGGATCTCCCCGTTAACAGATTCTGCAATCCCGAGGGTCCCGATCAGACCGGTGCAGGAGCCCGCCTGTATTCCGCTGTCCCAGGTCTTCGCCAGCTGACCGAGCAACGACCATCCACCAGAGGTTTCGGCCGGATGGTTTTCAATCATTTTCGCTGGCAAATAGATTTCACGGACTTCCAACAACGTTTTTCCGGAAAGTGTGTTGAATTCACAGGCTCGGAGACGTGAGCGCTTAATCAATCAAAAAATCTATTCACGAATGGGGCTCCACGGTATGATGGGAATTGGGCAATGACAAGCAGTATCGATCTCTGCAGCGTCTTCTCTTTGGGCGTCACGCTCAAACATAGAGTTCGGATCATGTGTTTACCGAGGCTCGATGTATGCGCGTCGGGCGGCGGGGGCAAACGAAATATTCGATGGAAAACAGAAGATGACGGAATGTGGAAATGAAATTGAGAAAGAACTGCGTTGGGATTCCTCGGGATTACCGTCGAGTGAAAACGTTCCAGATGCTTTTGCAACCTGTTCCGACTTCTTGGGAAAGAGACGTCGACGTTAGCAATGATTGTCTCCAATCGGTCGATTGGATTTGTTGACAAGAGTCGCCGTGCCGTCGGAACGTGATCCGTTCTTTCATGCGACGTTCCTAGCCATCGATCGGCGGAGAAAACAAAGACTTGCGGTCGCCATCGCCGCTTCCTCCGAGTGTCAGCGTTCGCAGGGCCGTTTCAAGTTTTCAGACGTTTGCTCGGACGGAGTTGCTTTCCGGGGGAGAGCTAAAGAGAACGCTTCTGCCACGTCTGCCATTCTGTCCAGAGCCGGCGGAGGTCAGACGTCAATAATGGGGCAATAATGGGGTGAAAACTAGTTTGTTTGGAAAATTCTCGTGGGAAATCGTCCAGCTGTCATGACCGACGGGAGCGACGGGCCATTGCTCACCTCGATGTACCGAAAATGGAATTTTTATAGTTTAGAACTATTCTGACTAAGCTCTGGACGGAATGATCAATTGATAACGTATCTTAGGCTGAACTTCGCGGATCGGGTGTCGTTTGCTCTCCATGGTACGCGAGCATACGATGGTCAGCGGAGTCATCCTTCCTCCCCCTTGGATGGGAACACGGATGAATGGATGGGTGTCCGTATGGTGGCCCCATTCGTGAATGTTAATGCATGGAATGACTATTTCCGCTCGGATGTGCGAGCCAGCTGATTGTGAGCTAGACGCCGATCATAGTTTCTGAGGGAGAAAGGATCCCGTTGTATCCATACCGACGAATTCCTCGGGTCAGTCGATGAACGTGTACCTGCTCATGCTCTCGACAGACACAAACGTCGCTGCGTGCTTCCCTGTCGACTAGTGCTTTTCGAAAAAGCAGTGCCAATCGGTCGTTTGGTCCTCGTTCTGGACTCACGGCTTGAGTCAATTCCAATCTACGGCGCGGTGCCTAGAACTAGAACGAGGGGAACTCGAGCACATCCCTGCGCCAGCGAAGGCGAGCCGAGCTACCTCATGCGACAAACGTCACGGAGCTCTTCTTCCGATTTTTCTTTCCGAGAAAGATGCTCGTCTTGCGTCGTGGTGTTCCGACCGAAGAGCCAGGGCGGAGTCACGACTTTCTACGTTATGAGTCTCGATTACCGAAATCTCGACCTTGGGGAGAGAATGAGGGACGGAAGCTATGTTTGATTCTGACAACATCGCTCTGAGCATTGCTCCGGATAGACATACTCATGTACATTTCGAAAATGGAGATGACAGCTC